GACTTTTACCTGTATAAAAAGCCTCAAAAATCTGTATATTTTGCAAAAATTCCATACAGCAAGTTAAATTTAAGACTTTTTAAAACTTTTTTAATGCCAAGTGAAATTAAATTTAAAACCAATTTCTCAATAAACACAAATGACAAATTTTTTAAATAAAACTGTGGTATAAACTCACGAATCAAAGTATTTTTGGTTGAATTATTCAAATATTGCTAACAGACCAATTGTTTTTTATCCATATCCAACTGTTTTTTTTGTCAAATATAGCAAAAAAAAATCTTAGCAGTCAGTTTTAAACTTAATTTAATTTCTGGAAATCCTCTAACAACCTAAAATTTGGAGTTTTAGGACCCACAGTGGGGTTTTAACCCCAATTTGCTGTAGATGAAACCTTAAAGTGCCCGTGACATCAAATTTTTGTAAGAAACGTGAATGCATTTTTGGAAAGACAACACTATGTACATGTTACAAAATGAATTTCACGAGGCTCAGATGAACAGTTGTTGAGATATTTGCATGTGAAATAACAGGAAGTGATGTCAAAGGGGAATGTCTGCATGTGAATATTAAAAAAAATAAATGTTTCCAATTATTTTAATATTTGAGACGAATTCATTCTATTTACAATGTGTTAACATTTTTAAGACTCTTGAAAGATTGATTTAAGACATTTTAAGGCTAATTAAGGTCTTATTTTTGGATTGATAAACTCAATGCCTTTTAAGACTTTTTAAGGATCTGCAGGAACCCTGAAAATGTCTCCAGAATCTCTTGAGACACTTGTGTGGTTCCCAGTTTTGTTGCCTGAGTCGCAGGGGCAGATTTCCCTCTAAATAGTCATTGCGGGTGTCTATCCATCTCAAAGGCACTATAGCTGTGTTTTGACACCTGCACAGAAGCTCTTCTCTGACTAAAAACATCAAAAGCATTAAAAAAAAGTATTATTAAAAAATACTTATTAAAAAAACTTGTCCAAATCTACATATTTGCATTTTGCATGCGTACTCCATCAGATGTAATCCTTTACATAAGTCAGCCAAGTTGGGTATGGTGTGGGCAGAAGTGGATGACAAAATAATGTGCACGACCAAGAATGATTGTTTTTTTTTTTTTTTGGATAACACTGCATGCATTCATAGAGATACACAACAACACACTGAAAATAAATACAAATTATAAACAAAAAGATGTACAGATGCTATACGCTTGCAGAAATCTATCTGAAAGACGTGGACATCTGTACATCTTAGAGACGATGGGGGAAAAGACAAAAACGTGTGTTGTCCTTGAAATACCTCTAGAATATTTCAAGAACACGTTTGTGGAAAAACAGTAGCCTGGTAAAAACCAGCCCCTTGTCCTTCACTTTGCTTCGTACAGAGGCTCTGGACTCTCGGCTGTTAAGAAGAGATTTGCTGGAGTCGTGGCCTCTGCTGAAGTTTAAAACCGTTGGATCGGTTGGCCTCGACGTATTTGTGCTAGCTCCACTGTGAAGGAGGCTAAGAAGCTAACCGGAAATTATGTGCGCTGTAAACAACCCTACTGAGAGGAGGGAAGTACCGAGCCGAACGAGACGGCTGTAAATGAGAGCTGCTGCTTTGTCAGACAAATTTATTTTAATTTGGAAGCCTTATCAACACAGACTGGCTTCATTCGCTTCCTCCACTGCCACGAGGCAAGGGCCAGACTAGAAAAACCATAAAGTACACAATATTTTATTTTACTGAACACATTTTGATTAGCATCTTATTATATTTTTAATGTAAAGGGGCAAAAGCAAAATATGTTAACACAGCGTACCTCAGATTTTTTTTAAAACGTAGATGTGCAAAAATGATCCAAATATGCGTAGTTTCATCAATTATGTTCTTCACATGTTTCTTAAAGTGGGAGCGGGCGACAACAATAAACATAAATATAAAGCTTAAAATTGCAACATTTCTGGTTGAAAACAGAATATAAAAAAACTGTTAATGTAAGATAGTTGCCTAGATGGGAAACTCAAACACGTACACACACACACACATGCAAATACAAATGCATGCACACACACAGCTTGGTCTTTTTGTTTTGCCACCTCAGTGGAGTTTGAGCCTGAGAGAAAGGGAGTTGTGTTGTGTTTGGTGAGTATGCACAACCCAACACTGCTTCTTTCCTTTCTCAGTGCATTCCAACAGCTCAGACTGAGTTACATTAGCTTAGGTCAGCCATGTGTGTGTATGTGTGTGTATGTGACAGTATGCTGTTTGTATGAAACAATGAGGATGGTGCACCTGGTAATTCACTGAGTCAGGAGTTTCTACAAACAGCTGCAGGAGTATATTACCCAGTACTTTTATCTTTATCTAAGGTTAGAAAAAACATTTATTTACAGCAATATATATTGCTGTAAATAAATGTTTTTTCTAACCTTAGATAAAGATAAAAGTACTGGGTAATATACTCCTGCAGCTGTTTGTAGAAACTCCTGACTCAGTGAATTACCAGGTGCACCATCCTCATTGTTTCATACAAACAGCATACTGTCACATACACACACATACACACACATGGCTGACCTAAGCTAATGTAACTCAGTCTGAGCTGTTGGAATGCACTGAGAAAGGAAAGAAGCAGTGTTGGGTTGTGCATACTCACCAAACACAACACAACTCCCTTTCTCTCAGGCTCAAACTCCACTGAGGTGGCAAAACAAAAAGACCAAGCTGTGTGTGTGCATGCATTTGTATTTGCATGTGTGTGTGTGTGTACGTGTTTGAGTTTCCCATCTAGGCAACTATCTTACATTAACAGTTTTTTTATATTCTGTTTTCAACCAGAAATGTTGCAATTTTAAGCTTTATATTTATGTTTATTGTTGTCGCCCGCTCCCACTTTAAGAAACATGTGAAGAACATAATTGATGAAACTACGCATATTTGGATCATTTTTGCACATCTACGTTTTAAAAAAAATCTGAGGTACGCTGTGTTAACATATTTTGCTTTTGCCCCTTTACATTAAAAATATAATAAGATGCTAATCAAAATGTGTTCAGTAAAATAAAATATTGTGTACTTTATGGTTTTTCTAGTCTGGCCCTTGCCTCGTGGCAGTGGAGGAAGCGAATGAAGCCAGTCTGTGTTGATAAGGCTTCCAAATTAAAATAAATTTGTCTGACAAAGCAGCAGCTCTCATTTACAGCCGTCTCGTTCGGCTCG